TTTTTTGCGTGCGTTTTTTGCTTTTGAGAGTTTGCATGATTTGCGTAATATGGTTCTAGAAAGAAACGATATTACGTTTTTGTTATATTTTTTTTATAAAAACTATTAATTATCATAAAGGCTTTATTAAGTTTTATATAATATACGCAAAACACGCAAACTCACAAAAAAAAAACACGCAGAAAACGCATAGTGTAGCTAGGCCTTTATACGCATGCGCTAAGTGGGCAGCCATCTTTTATTCAGCAGCAGACCTATATAAAATGCATAGTTTATATTTTTAGATTCAATTAAGCATATTTATGTATGCGTGTAAGTGTAAAACAGTTTTTTATTCTGTCCAATCTATTAAAGAAAAAATTATCGAACCCAGTACTAGGTAGTTGCAGCGTATATTGACGCAGCTGCGACATAAAAGCATATTCTGCGTGGTTTGCATGTGGCAAATATTGCGAGCAGTCTGGCAAATCTCAAATCCAAATTTAGCATCGAATGCAAAACTGTTAGCGGTCCTCAAAATTAGAAGGCGAAGAACATCAAACGGATCAAGATTGTTTGTTCAGCTATGAAAACAATAGTTTTTGGGTGATAGTGGAAGTGGAGTGAAGGTGGTTGAGTTTTTAATACCTAGTAGGGTATGTATCTACTTTTCGCCATTGTATCTTTACTTTTGGTGTAATTGAGAGCCACGGCAGTATGTGACAGATCCATTAATGCTCGTAAGCCAAGGTATTCCAATTATTTATGTTGATAGGTAAACGCTGATTCTGCTGGGAAATGTAAGGCGAGTTAGAAGACCATGGGTTAGATCAAGCAATTTGTGACCCTTAGCCCAAAGCATATTTACGTCTGGACAACGAGTTGCGTTGGAGAGGCCGGAAATAGTGGCGATTTCAGGGCCGCAAGAATGGACCGTCATTGGAATGATTCTTTTTTAAACCGTGCACCGTTTTGGGCCGGAATTTAATAGTTACTACAAAATATTTTGTAATTACGTTTCCAATAAGAATGAATGCCATCAGGGCTAAATTTTTACTACTATTGCATTTTGTCAAAAAGCATTTAGTGCTGTTATATTGCAGTTTTAGCGCGTTTGTTACAAAATATGAAGCGAATAAGCGTCAGTGTAATTCATCATCAGAGGCAATCAGAGGGCCTTGATCACCAGTGCCAGAAGAATGAAGATAACTTGAGGGAAAGCTATGCTAATTGCTCTTGTCCATCCACTAAAATTTATTAAATATTTTGCTTTGTGTATTCCAAAAGGAGATCGGGAACTATTTCATTTGTGCCTTCATGTCAGAATTGAAGGTGGATCATTAAATTTTCAACGCAGTTTACAAACAAGCATTTGGTCTTTCTCGTTTATAAGCAGTGGCTAAGAAAAGGTTGATCAATCCTGAAGTTCAGTCATCGTACCTCAACTTGGCTGCAAGATCCCCCAAGGACAGAGGATATATTGTATACCTGTCCTGTTAATTAAAACATTTTTGTGCCTGCAAAGGCTTAAGTTATCTGTGGTGTGTTCGGAGTTAGGCTATGTGGCCGTTTTTGTTGTATGTTTATGTGGTGTTTGAATATATTATATAACTGTGACCCTGTGCTTGTTTGTATACTTACGGTCAAACAGGGAACAGCACATTCACATAACATACTCACCTAGCACCTAACTCATAGCTGTACCTTGCAGGATCTGTACTTGTTCATGTCTCGAGCATTAACAAAGCACTAAAGTAGCTTAGTAATCATTTCCCACATTTTCTGAGCGTCTAACATGACATACAGCAGTGCAGAGCAGCTTCAGAGAAGAAACACTTTAAATGCACAGACTCACACCAGCCACCCAATGAGCCAGTTCCTCAGTTGACTGTTTCCCTGGATGCAGCCTGGCAGCTTGGCAATGTGAGCTAACTTTTGGCAAGTTGAAGGTTAGCAGGTAAGATTGAGTTAGGGTGAGTACCTACCTATAACTGGGTGCTACTGCCATGCAGGTCTTGGGTAGGCTGCAAATATGTGTGATGATTGAGGTTAGGTCAGCTGTCAGGTTAGTCAGGTATGCTCATTGCTCAGGTCACATTTTTATGGACATTTGGTAAATTAAAAAAATAACAATCTAATCTAAGCTAGCCCGACTAAACATACACAACTACTGACTATAGGAACTGAGCACCTACCTACTTGTGCCTAGGTACATCTCATACCATGTCAAAGTAGAGTTCCTTGGTGGAAGATTACCCTCAGTACTTTTTATCCCAGCCCTGTGAAGAAAACTAATACTTCATAAGCTCTGAGTCACTGCTGGCCATCCACAGGAAGAAACGCTGAGATTGAGAGCTTTGCCATTGTATATTTGACCAATAATCACTATCACGAATGACTATGAACACATTTCACATCGTTGCATGGATTGTCACATTGACAATTTTACTACAATCCTTTTTTCAAGAAATACAGTGATGATGATTAACATCAAAATCAACATAAAGTGGATTTAGTGATCCAAGATTTCTCCTCCAGTAGCAATGAAATGATTGCATGCTTCATTTGCCAGACTGAGACACTGAGTACCTGATGAGTGATGCACATTACAATCTGCATATCATCTAAGCATAGTAAAACTGCCCAAGTCCATTCATTCTAGATTTTAATTTGATAGTTAGCACTAATTTATCTTGCTGTTGTAAGTTATCATTCAATATTCATACCAATACATCAATATACGCTCATCAGTCAACAATTTCTGGCATGATCCTGCTCAGCGTGCTCTTCAGAATTGCTCCAAGGTCTGCAATATTATAGCTTGTTTTTGACCAATAAGCTCTTTTAATTTTTACTTTTTCTTGCTGATATATGAGCCCGATCAACTTGCGTTTATCAACCAAAATTTCATAACTTGTTCAACTTGATAGGTATTGATATTGCTCAGGAGTCAGGACCCCTGTCAGCCTCCTGGATACTTCAGATTGTTTTCAGTCAATATGCTTCTTAAATATGATATAAGTCAATCTTAAGGGATTCAAAACATCCAACAAAGCGACGTACAAGAGCAAGAAAACCATCAGATAAACTAAAAAATGGCCTTGGAACAGAGCCAAGTGGTGCTCCATTTGTTTGTTTACAATGATTGTAGTGCTGATGTATTTTTAGGACTCTGAACGTCGGCTTATAAAAAATGAAACGTTTTTACAAAAGTTGTAAGGCAAGTAATATTTATCTGAAAGAACTAAAATATTCAAAAGCCAAACACTATGAAATACAAGAATCGGAACGAAAAAGTAACCCAAAAATCCAGCCTAATCACCGGCTCCTAAAACTGCAACACAATCAGCACTTTTCCCCGCAACTCGTTGTCCAGACGTAAATATGCTAGCCCAAAATCAAATCAATAACTAAGGTAACCAAATTATAATGTGAACATGCATTGTGTATTCATCAATATGCTTTGCCTGCTCACAAATGTCCTGATGAAACAGGGTATTGAAAATATAAAGATTAACATGATATCTTAAACATGTGTGTTGAGCAATGTGCGCCTGCTTACTGCTATTGTTAACTTGATTACTATACTGATTTTAGGGCAATTGAAAAAACATGCATTTTTTCATCTTCATGCATTGACATATATGTATAATTTTGTGTTTACAGTTTGATTAAAAACTTTAAACAAAATTTTTTATGTTTTTTCAATTATGATAGCGGTGCGCATTTATAATACTGACAAAATACCTAAAAATATTGCAGTGCATTGTGTGTGTCTATAATGCAAATGCCACATATATTTCTACATAATGTAGTACTAAATATGGTCATAGCTTCAATTTCCAGTACATGCTGATTGAATCATTTTGTTGATTCAATCAACTTGAATACATGAGTTGCCGACTCAATCACTTGTAGTTGCCATGTGTGACCGATTCAATCACAACTCATATGGTGACAAGCGGTGATTCAACCGACTCAATCACAGTGAGTCGGCATTTTCAAGCGATTCATAAGAATCGATTCAATCAGAGTTGAATCGCTTACAAGTCTGGTCATTAGTAGCGACGTAATGACATGGTAGGTGACAGTGAGTGGTATGCTGGGGCAGGCCAGCAGACATGTCATTAGTAGCGACGTAATGACATGGTAGTTGACAGTGAGTTGTAAGCTGGGGCAGGCCAGCGGACAAACTTGACCGTCCTCCGCACCGGGGGGCGGCCGGGTGACTCATCCGGCGTGGCGTCAGCTCAAGGCCGCGACGGGCCTGCGGCCGGCGGTCGGACGGCCGTTGATCCGGGGTGTCGTCTTGCACCGGTCTGCAGCGGGCCGACTGGGTGTCAGGTCACTGCTGGCATTGGGCCACACTGTGGAAGCACGAAAGCCGGCTGCTATGCTGCATTGATGATCTAGTGGTGACGTAGCATGACAGCCCAGGTAAATAGGCAGGCCAGTCAGGCATGGCCATGGGTGGAGAAAAGGGGGTTTGAGGGTGCACGAGCACCCCCTCATATCGCAAAGCACCCCCACAAACAATGCAAAACAAACATAGCAGCTTGTTAACCAAAGTATCAAACAGAAAAGCACCCCCTGGGATTTAGGCAAATCTCCACCCCTGGGTATGGCCGGCTTTGTCGGGCATGCCCTCGGGATGGCGTGCCAGTGTGCGGTTAGGGCATTGTTTAGTGCGAACCTATGACACTGGTGCATGTAACCGAGCAAGATTGTGAAGGTGGCGCTGGCATGGCATGACATGCCAGTGGGCAGGGCATAGTTCAGGGCCAAGCTACAAGCTGGTGTATGTGACCGCCCGGAGGGCCAACTGAGTATCTGAGACGGGCGGCCACATTAGTATGGGGCGAAGGGTAGTAACAGAACAAAAGTGCCAACTGCCAGTGTTCAAGCAACTTGGCAGACTAATTGGCTGACGAAAATTAGACCGCCGGTTAGAGGGGCACGCCATGATTGCCTCGTGCGAAGGGCCCGCGCGTAACTAACAGGCCGGATAGCTGGTAACTCACCGGTGTTCCTTCTTGGTCGACCCATGGTGGCGGTAGCCGCCGCTAAAGCTATCACTCTACTCTCCGCGGGCTTCAACCGGTAAACAAAAAAATTGCTGCGCGCACTCCGTCGCTCGGCGTCCTAACGGAAAAGGCCGCTTGGGCTGCGTTGCCTCGAGTCCAAACATAAGTCGTATGTCGGACATACTTACGTGCAGTTGTGGACTGTGGTAGCCGTTGTGGTTCCAGTGCCTGCGCCCACGCTTTGAGTTGCTAAAATACATGCATGGTAGAAATCAACGCTGTTACAATATATCACCCACGATCTAAAATCTATATATCTGCGCCTCTCATGTGTGCGCGACATCTGGTGGCACTATGCGACCTGTAGTTCTCCCCGGCGCACCTAGGTGGCACGGCCTGTTCCGTGTTGAGGCACGACCTGTGCTGGCGGAGGTGGGAGGTGACTAGGGCGCAACTTCCCGCTAATATAATTTGCACGGTTCCATCGTGAAATGACCAGTAGCTTTACGCAAATTGGGCTTGTATTCCGCCAGCAATTTGAGAGTTGAAATATTCTTTAGCTCAAGCGGTAAAACCAATTAACCCAAAATATCAGCCTACATAGCCACGAGCCAATGCATCTGCGCATACATGGAAATGAGGCTGTATTGCCATTCCATTGAAATCAAACATTACGAGCAGACAGCGAAGAAGTCATTTTCTGAAATGTTCCCCTACCGCTCTGAACGGCAGCGCATCAACAATCGATCTGCGATGTTATTGGGATCGATATGACGCTGAACGGTCGGGGCTCGGTTTACGACATTGGAGGTTGTTCGCGGAGGTAGACAGAGACAGTATTTACATGCATCGATGTGTCGTTTAGCGGCCTTCATTGCAAGTTACGGTGAATTGAAATGCCATGAAATAGGGACACCTGAAATCGAATTGTGTCCCTAAAACCCATATCAAACTCCAGCTCCAACTGCACTAAACCATAAAACGTATTAAATGTATCAGACGTGTGCCAACTCCATGCTGTCAATCTAATTACCCGAGGACAAATGGTCGTAATGCCGCGTGCCAGCAGGGCCGCAGTCACCGCTGGTGCCCTTTGCCCTCTCGGAACGACCTTTTGTTTCGACCGGGCGAGCTCACTGGCCTCCCCGGAGATAGCCGAGTTGGGATTCAGCGGCGCTGCGGCGCCCCGGCGGCTCTCTGTGTCGGAGACCAGCCGCGATTCGCCGGCAGGCCCACCGGCGCCATATTGATTTTCCGCAGAAGTGCGCCGCGTTCGCCACAACGCTGACCGTGTCGGTCTTTGGCCACCACTGCGCCAGTTCAATGAGCCGTTCACCATTCGGCGAACGTTAGCTGAACTGCGGCCGTGTAATGGATAGCGTCGTCTTTCATCATAAACGCAGCCTACGACGAATCCAACTCAGTCAGTGAAAGCTGATTCGGCCAGCGCTTGTCCGCAGCTGATGGCTCAATATTTAAATGTCACAATTACAGGCGATGTATTTCACCAGTAGAAATAGAGTTTAGTGGATACACGTTCCATAACATATGTTCCAAAATGTTAATAACCTGCAAAGGCAAAATTTGTTTTGACGGTCCTTTTCAGCGCTCACAGTAACTTCACAGTTTACATAACAGTTTCTTGATATCAGTAGAGAGTTATGTAGTACACCTTATAAGGCAATTGAGCACGGATTGTTGCAGATGTTGGCATGACAGATACATGAACGATCAAGAAATCAATTCCGGACGTCAACACATTGAAAGTATATAAGCAGTGTGTTCTGATTAGCTCGAAGCTTTGAAGTTGAGCCTTAGTTCGCTTTGAAGCTCAACGGCATTAGGTTACTAAGATGATTAACTCATTAACTATAGACCGGTTTGTTTCAGAAATCCGACTGAACGGATATTACCTGTGGGACGATTCAGGACATTTGGATCGGGACACTTTCCAACTTAACGTTTAAATTGCGGCACAAAGTGATCGACAAACGCCTACAGCGGCTATACTGAGGAGCTCAAAGGTGCCATGAGTGAGTGAATTACGGGATGATTTGTAGCTCAGCATGTTTTTTTTTTTACTCACCCTATAGAGCAGTGGTCGGCAGGTCATTCGGGGTCGTGCCCCCTTTTTGGGCGCCAGGCAGGGCCATTACCCCCACCTACCAGACCCCATTGCTGACACAACCAAGTTTACTGAAATTCCATACCGTCCTGGAACTCTTTGGGTATTTGTGCATTTCCAATGCATCAAATTTAAAACATGACACTTCCTCCACAAAACATTTAATGCCTACATCCCAGTAGCGGCGGAACACCTTCAATTAAGGGGGAGGGGGGGGGGGAGCACTGCCGACTTTTGGTCCCATTCTTTCCATGCAACGCCCATAGGACTAATGTTAAAATGCAAAAATCAAAGGGTGCACGGTGCCCCGGTGGCAAATTTACAAACTGTATACACGTCTTCGGAGACCGAGCCGTGACGTCATGCCAATGGGCGGAGCGAAAGGCTGTAGCGGCGCTTGGCAGGTGACGTCAAGTGCAGGGGCGGAGCGGAAGACTCGCGGATCGTGGAGCTTACCTACTCGATGAGAAATCATAGGCGCGGGAGCCGGGGGGGCAGTGGGGGCAGCTTGCCCCCCCAACTCTGGGGCCGTGGGGGCGGTGCCCCCACAGCTTTGAGACGGAATATCACACTTTTTTTGCAAATGTTTTCTTTTTTGTTGAAAAAGCCGAGGGGTGAAAAATAAGTGGCCTAAAACCGGTGAGAAAACTAGATTTGGGGGTACCCTAGGTTGATCTCTATTATGGTGTGCCCCCCCAGTCGGAAAGTAGTTCCCGCGCCCCTGTGAGAAATTGTAATGTTGTGTTGAATATTTACAACTAGCTAAAACCCCTGATCTTGTTTGGGAAAATAGTTCATCCGAAAGACCAAGTTATACTTACGATAGCATAATTGGTAAACACAGTTGCCTGCAAATTTTGAATGTCAATCAGACCGGTCGTCCAACAAGCGCCTGTGACCAAGTGGCTATGATCCTCGCATATCACCTAGAGGAGCCGAGTTCGATTCTCGGGGCGGCGAGTTTTTCACATGAGCTCCGACGTCTAATTGAACGGTTTTACGTAAGCCTATAAGTAATACAAAGCAAACCCCTCTTACTGACGAACGCGGTTGGCGGCTCACACGCATGTTGCAGGTCAGAGTGGGTGGTATGAAACGACGCGTCTCGACCGTCTCCGTGTTGTTTGCTAGGTGTGCACGCTGTCAGTGCACGGGTTTTGTGCATTTCGCCGAAAATCATTCTGCATTCTAATGAAATCGGACGTCTAAATAGGCCGACTCGGCGGCGCTCTGAACGGCAGACGGCTTAAAAGATCAACTTGAAACTAATACGCCCGTCTAGCGGCATCGATTTTGGCGAGGCACTTTTCGGATCTCTAACTATGCTCCCAAATGCCGAAGATCCGAAAAGTGCCTCGCCAAAATCGATGCCGCTAGACGGGCGTAAAAGTTTCAAGTTGATCTTTTAAGCCGTCTGCCGTTCAGAGCGCCGCCGAGTCGGCCTATTTAGACGTCCGATTTCATTAAAATCCAGAATGATTTTCGGCGAAATGCACAAAACCCGTGCACACCGAGCAAACAACACGGAGACGGTCGAGACGCGTCGTTTCATACCACCCACTCTGACCTGCAACATGCGTGTGAGCCGCCAACCGCGTTCGTCAATAAGAGGGGTTTGCTTTATATTACTTATAGGCTTACGTAAAACCGTTCAATTAGACGTCGGAGCTCATGAGAAAAACTCGCCGCCCCGAGAATCGAGCTCGGCTCCTCGAGAATCATAGCCACTTGGCCACAGGCGCTTGGTGAATGATCGGTCTGATTGACATTCAAACTTTGCAGGCAACTGTGTTTACCAATTATGCTATCGTAAGTATCCTCATCCATGATACTCGTCGCATCACATCAATCAAACAATCAAAATCAATCACGCTGCAACCATCTATACCAATACGGCCATGGGTGTCGATTTGTATACCTTTGGGGGTGCTGCAGCACCCCCAATGCTCAAATGAGCACCCCCAATGGTTTTCCGGGCACCCCCAATGATTTTGTCCCTCAATAACTCCCACTAACTCTGCTTGAGGAAAATAATTGTTCCACAGTCTTTCACTACAAAAAATAAAACAATTACGCAATTTACAAGGCATGAAATAAAAATGTAAAGAAAAGAAAAGTTAGTTTTAAGAAGAAGGGCGAAAAAAGACGTTAAATTGCAAAGACACTTGTGTGGGTCCGTCGTACACGGGTGTCGGACTCTTAGAGCTGCTGGTGCGTACCCTTTACAAGCCGGCAGGGGGCTCCAGAGACCGGCGACGGGCCCTCAGAGGCCGGCAAAGGGCCATCAGAGGCCGGTGGTACCTTCAGAAACCCTGTGGGGTCGTCTTTAGAGACCGGAACGGACTCAGACGCCGATGGGGCCCTCAGAGTCGCCGGTGTGGGGCCTTCAAATGTCACCGGTGGCAGGGTGGCCGTCACATGCGCACTAGTGGGGCCTTCAGAAGCTACGATGCTGGGCCCTCAGAGCCGCCGATATAGGGCCTTAAGAGGCACTAGTGTGGGGCCCTCAGATATGGCAATGTGGGGCCCTCGGACTGGAGGCGCCGGTGAGGGGGCTTCGCAGTCGCCGGTGACGGCCCTCACAGGCGCCGTTGTGCGGGCTCTCAGAGACACTGGTTTAGGGCCATCACAGGCGCGCGTGGGGCCCTCAGAACTGCTGTTACGGAACGGACCCTTCATAGGCGGACAAAACGATATCAAGAGGTCACCGGTGCCTTCAGGAGCCTTGTTGGGTTCTCAGAGACTGGCATGGTGCGCTCAGACGCCGCTGGGACCCTCCGAGTCACTTGTGTGAGCCGTCAGGGTCGCTGGTAACTGACAATGGCCCTCAGAACCGCCCATGTAGGGTTTTTAAAGGCATTGGTGTAGGGCCTCAGAGTTA